CCCAAAAGCCTAACAAATAAATAAGTAAATAAAGATTTAGGTCTGGAGTGAGGCAAAGCCCCTTCTACGTTGTACTGATTAAAGCCACAGGCCTAGTTTGCCCCTAGCCTGGTGGCTTAGAGAGGCAGACCCCACATGGTTGACAGCATGGTTTGAGTCCCCAACCTGACAGTTTGACAAACATGATGGGTGTATGTGTGCGGGCACCCAAAATCTTCAAAGGAAGGAGAGATGGAGAAGTAGTTGAGGAGTATGAATGTCTCAGTATGACTACTAGGAGGTGTGGTGCATTGTAACACAAAAGAATATTGACTTAGTCCATCTTCTAAAAACCTACTTATTTCATTTTCTTTCTTATCATTATTGTTAGTATTATTATTATTTTAATTTGATCAGAGCGAGACTGGGAAGGGGTGAGAAAGCAAGCCACCAGGTCCAGGATTTGAACCATGGTTGACTGTGTGGTGGCCGCTGGAAAACTTGCCTCTTTAAGAATCAGCTAATTTGGGGCCAGCAGGTGGTGTGGTGGTTAAGGGCACTGGACTCCCACATGGCCGACTGTGGTTTACTGGCTTTCTCATTTTCCCTGTCTCTCTCCCTCTCTCTCTCTCTCTCTGTCCCTCTTTGGTCAAATTAAAATAAAGTAAATAATAAATAAAGTTAAAATAAACAGTACAATCTTAAAAAAAAGAAGAAGAAGAACCAGCTAATTAGAAAATTCAGAACATTTTGACTAATGAGTATACACAAGAAAATAACAAATAGCTTTGGGAATTAGAGAATAAGCACAAGAATTTCCCTCCAAGTCTGATAAATATAATCTCCATAAATATAATCACTTAAATCAATAAGAGAGAATAAATACATCAAAAAGAAGGAGAAACAGAGGGCCTGGTGGCTTCACTGGATGGAGATTTGCTGTAGCTAGAAGTCGAACTGTGGACTGAAAGTAGGTATTGGTCCCAGACCAAGGCTCATCGTAATGAGCTATCTCCATGGACACAGGGCACTCAGGTACAGGAGACAGAGACACCCCTGGACTGATACTGACCATCAGTGGAAGCTGTAATTGATCAGATAGATATTAGATACGAGGGACATTTGCGCCCTGGACATTAGCCATAGAGGAACAATGAACATTGGCATGCAGGGCCGCATCAGCCTCTGATGAGCCTCTCCTGTCCCAAACGTCACCCTTGCTGGTCATCAGATGCAAGCGATCAGCACTGTGGGCGTTTACTTCTGGGCACACATAAAGAGAACGAAGGGCAGGCCTTGGCCCTCAAGGAGTCTTATCTAGAGAAGCAGCCTGTGAGCTGGCCTGGTGGCAGTCGGGAGGTAGTGTCTGCCTTTCGTCTGCCTGTTCCCTCTGAAAGTCCTTTGGTCACAGTAATTTGGGAAACGGGGGTGGTGTGACAACACTGGTAGAGGGACATGCCTGCATTTGGGCCTGGGCTCCCTGAACTACAGGGGGATTGGGTAACACCCAAATCCACAGACTTTCTTTGGCTAGCCTGAGCTACGCTGTCTGGGCATTTCTCCCTTCCTTCTCTCTAAACGGGATGGCCAAAACACAGCAGGGCTGGCATCATTGGCAGTGGGACCTTAGAGTGATCCTGGGCTTGGGTTAATGCCCTGTTCTTGCCATTTAAAAGTGCTGACTACTTTTTGTTACTTGTTTTTGTTTTTGCCATAGGGTACCATAGGGTACATGTACTTGCCACTGAGAGATAGAGACAGTGAGAGGGAGAGGGAATCATCCCCCAGAGCAGCCAGTTGCCATAGGGTACCATAGGGTACATGTACTTACCATTGAGAGATAGAGACAGTGAGAGGGAAAGGGAATCATCCCCCAGAGCAGCCAGGTAAGCTGCAATCCCTTCTCCTCCATTCTCCGGAGATTTTGGGTACACACGCATATGTGCCCAGCGTGATTTTTCAACCTGCCAGGTCTGGGACTTGATCCATGGTCAGCCATGTGGGGATCCAGCACCTTAGCCACCATGTCACCTGCTGGCCCTGCCTGCTTAATAATTCTTGAACAGGCAGCCCCACACCATCATTCTACCCTGGGTCTCTCACAAAACACATTTTTGAAGCACAGAGTCCTGGCCATCTGCCATGAGACCTTGGACTATTCCTGTCTGGGCCTCAGTCTCCCCATCTGCAAGAAGGGCCAGGAGAAGAAGGACTTTGACTTTGGTCTTTGACCTTTGTGCTTGAGGATCTGGCACTGATGACCTGAGGAGATATTTATAACTGCATAACTTCTCCAGTTTATTTGTGACAGAAGAATGAATGGAATCCCAGTGGTTTTTTTGTTTTTTCTTTTTGTTTTTGTACTCACTGGAGAGGCAGGGAAAGACAGAGACAAAAAGCAAGAAATCACCTTCCAAGGGGGAGGGCCATGCCACAATCCCTTCTTCGTTTTTAGGCACGCACGCGCAAGCACCTGGCATGAGTTTTAAGTTCCTGCTCAGGGACTCAACCGCGATGTAACCATTCGCCATCTGTCAGTCCCAGGAATCCCTGTGATTTTTAATTTCTCAGAGCACCTCCCTCCTCTCTGACTATGGGGTCCACACTGCTGGCCTTGCTGAAGTAGGACAGGAAAGAAGGAGCTGCTGCCGCCTGACAGAAAGGTCAGGCCTGGGCTAGCTTCCTAATGCACATGGTGACAAAACACGTGGTGCAGACATGAGGACTTGATGGTGCTTACGAAGAGCAAAGGACACGTGCCCAGGCCACAGAGGCATTGTTCACGAAACACAATGCTTGTGACCCGGCCTGATCACCAGCGCCTCGGCTGTTCCATGTCACTGAAACTCAGGGACACCAATGGATGCCCAGTCCACATGAGACACACAGGAGCCAAGATCCTGCAAGTCAAAGAGCACTGGGCACCAGCAGATAGTATGGTGGTTAAGATGCTGAACTCCCACATGGTCGACTGCAGTTTGAATCCCTGACCAGGCAGCTTGAAAAATCACACCAGGCATGTGCATATGTGTGCCCAAAATCTTGAGAAGAAAATGGAGAAGGGATTGAGGTGTGGCCATTCCCCAAAAAACTTAAAAAACAACAACAACAACAAAAAGAGAGTGCTGTTTTGCAATTCTATGGTCCTAGAATGACAAAACGGTTCAGTTCTGAGCTATTCGGAGATGGCCTCGCTCTGTAACGCACTCCGAAATTCTGTGGGGGAGGGAGCGAGCCCTGATGGGGCATCTGCCTGTGCCAGGCTCAGCGCCTGGTTCTTTGCTGATGTCTGTTCATTTTCTCTCCGTGCATTCCGGAAGATGTCGTCACCCCCACTTTCTAGGCTCCGAGCTGCAACTTGGCCAGTCACACAACTGGTTTTTACTCTCTCCTGTGAATTCTACAAAGAATCTTCAATCTCGGCGATTTTGTGAACCTCTAAGCCTGCGTTCTAGGTCACAGCACTCCAGAGAGTGGAGAATGGTGGGACGCTGGCTGTCTAGCCTCAACAGTCCGCGCAAAATGTGCAGGGTCAGTTTGGACCCTAAACTGCCATGGCCTTGTCCTGGGCTCCACCAGGGCCCAGGGTGTCTTGCCATACGCGACCGCCAGATGGCGCTGTGGACTGGCCGCTCCTCGCCAGGCAGAGAGGCTGCGTGACCCAGGCCTGCTGTCCCCGTGGGACTTGGTTCTGTCTAGCTGCACAGGAGGCCAGGCCTGGGAAGAGAGGTGATGTCCTCCTATCCCCAGGAGGGATGAGCCCCGCTTATAGACTAGGAGGAACCCCAGCACTCACGGCCCACTTCCCTGCAGTGCCCCTCTAAGAGCTCCATCTTCAAGTCTGCGCCCAATGACTCCTTCCTCAAACAGGGCTTCATTGGGTCCAAGTCTCACATCTGACACTTCTCAGCCAGGGGAAAGTGTGTGGGGAGTGGGGAGGGTTGTGTACAGAGAGGATAGGAGATCCATGTGGCTGGTGTCCCCAGTCCTCCTCCTCTGCTACTCAGTACTGACTGTGGGTGCCAGCCCTGGGCTGGGGCTCTCCGGGAGATCCTTTCCCCAGGCAGGTGTGAGTGACAAGCTGGGCAAGCTCCCCAGATGCCAGCCAGGCCTGATGTCCTAGGCCCTGTGCCTCTGCTCACCTGGGACCACTCCCTGTCCAGGCAGGCCCACCAGTATTCTGTGTGGTCAACCCTCCTCCACAGCTCTCCTGCTGCTCAGCCAGGTGGCCCAGGTCTCCAGGGCGACCAAGTGGCTGGCCTTCATGCCCAGCTCAGAGCAGAGGAAGGGCTCCTTGGTGGTGGTAATGATGGTGGTGGACATATATTTGGGTGGACTGGCCAGTTAGAAGTAAGACCCTGTGGATAGCTGGGCACCTGGACAAGTTTGGCACGAGCTCCTGGCTGCCAGTGTGCCCACAGGAGCCAGACGCCATGGCAGATGACAGGCTACAGCGGGCGAACAGGACAAAGTACTGTTGCAGACAGGTGGCAAGAGGAGGGGGTCCTGCTGAGGTGGCCAGGCAGGAACTGCAGCTACTGGACAGGAAGGTAGCTGAGGGCAAGGGCTGGGGGCAAGGGCGAGGTCCCCCAGCAGCTCAGCAGAGGTGTGCAGCGCCTGGCAAGCTCCTAGCCACTGTTGGACAGCCAGCGGGAACAAGGGAGTGGACAATGAGAAGGGCAGACAGGGAGCAGGCTGCAGCAAAAGGTCCAACCCACCCAAGTGACCCCTTCCCTCACGTCGCAATTGTCTCCCGATCCTGGGAGGTTATTGTACTTTTCAAGAACAAGTCACCCTGGCCAGGGCCTAATGGGCTTCATCCTTGTGGCCCCCAAGCCTGGCCAGGAATCATCTGTGGATGCTGGTGACCGACGGCAGGAACCTGTGGGCTGGTGGGGAAGGCACAGCTCAGCCCTAGACACACATGGTCACTGATGGCCGGCTTCCACCCAACACTTTCCTCCTACACACACACACACACACACACACACACACACACACACGACACGAAATCACGTATGTGAACAAATGCACCTCTTTTACAAATGTCGTGTTTCCATCCCCTGCCAGCAGGGGTAGAATGGGAGTTGAAAGTGACAGCCTACCAAAAAGGCAACAACTTTTATAAAATAAAGATCCAGGAAAGAACCCAGGGCTGGGAAACTGAGATGCCACCCTGGGGTGGGGCACAGACACGGGTAGGGAGACCCTGCCTTCTTCAGCAGCACTGCTGGGGGGATTGAGGTGAGCTACGGGGCTCAGGGCCAGGGCGGCCTGAGTCCAAAAGGCCCTCAGAGCTCCAGGCCAGACAGGGCTCCAATCTGGAGGCAGAGTCTCAGGGGAAATGGGCTGATTTCCAGTCTTGATGCTGAGAGCTCAGCTCAGAGAGAATGCAGGACTAGGCTCCCAGAGGCTCTGACAGGTGACCTGACTGAGCCCTTCGCTCACAGGAGGGCCCACACTCGCCCTCTGAGGCCCCTGCCTGTCCTGCTGCTGCTGCTCGAGAGGACTGGGAACGGGCAGTTACCAGCAGGAGGAGCCCAGGCAGGGGAGCAGGAGGGACTCGAGACAGGTAGGTGCCACTGCCCCGGCTGGGAGCCAGACTGGGCCTGCCATGCCTCTCCCTGAAGGCCATCCGGTGATTTTTCTCCTTCTCTAGGACTCAGTTTCCCCATCTGTCACATGAGGAGGGTGGCCTGCTTTCCCTCCAGACTCTTCTATAATTAAAGCTTGACCCAGGATTCTAGGAGGGAGAGAAAAGGATGAAGTGGACCTCAGGGGCCCAGAGCAAGGAAGGGGCTGTGTCTGCAAGAAACTCACACCCCTGAGGGACTGGACCTTGGGCCCAAAGGGACACTCGGCCCAGGAAGCCTGAACTCTGCCCTGCAGTGGTGGCTCTTGTCCACCATCCTGTCACAGGTCAGGCTGGCCCAGGCATGAGAAGGCACTTGAGGGACCAGTGGGGAAGGGTAGCAGGGACAGACCAGTCTGGTTTGGCATCCAGGTCCCTCTGCTCAAGAGTTTGGCAGACACATAAACAGGGCAAAACTAATCCTGGCTGTGAGTCCCAGGCCCACAGCCCCGATGGTGCCATCACCCACGCCTGCAGCACCCCCACTGACACTGGCACGCTGAAACAGAAGGTACCTAGACCTCAGCAGGCCTGGGACAGCAGTCTGTCATATGGCCCCAGGCCGCACTGTGTGTCACAAGACGTCAGGGGCCCTGGCAGCAGACTGCTGCGGGTCCACGCAGTGCAGGGCCACCTTGGGGCTGGCGCCGGGCTGTCGGGGGTAAGCACCCTCCCGCACCAGGCGCCGGCAACGCACGTCCTGGCCTACGCTGACGCTCTGCAGTGAGGGGAGCTGGAGGAGCAGTGGCTCGGGCAGGGGCGCCAGGCCTGTGCCCGACAGGTCCAGCTCCTGCAGGGAGCCCAGGCCAGAGAACACCTCTGCTCCTGCCCACTGGAGCCTGGGGTTGTTGGACAGGTCTAGGACCTGCAGGCCCGGTAGCTCACGGAAGCCATGGGGCACCAGCTGGGGCAGACCCTGTAGGCTGGCCAGCGACAGGTGTGTGAGGCCTGCCAGCCCTGCAAAGGCCCCTGGGCGGATGGCTGTCAGAGGGTTCCCGTCCAAGCTCAGGTAGCGCAGGGGCAGGTCTTGGAGGCTGGGCACAGTGTGGAGCCGGTTCCAGGCCAGGTTCAGGCTCTGAATGGTGGGCATGGGCAGGCCAGCCCGTGCAGGAGGAGGCAGGAGGCGGTGCAGGAGGTTGTGGGAGAGGTCCACATGCAGGGCTCGGCCCTGGCCGTGGGTACGGAAGGCGGACAACGAGACCTCCCGGAGTCGGTTGTGGCTAAGGTTCACGTCACTCAAGGGTGAACTGGTGAAGCCTTCGGCAGGCAGGGTGCACAGGCTGTTGTGGCTGAGGTCCAGTGACTGCAGGTAGCGGAGGCGGGAGAAGGCTGTGGGTGAGATGCTGGTGAGCAGGTTGTGGCTGAGATATAGGCCAGCCAATGTGGTGTAGCCCGGCCCGGCCAGCACCGACTCGTTCACCGTGTCTAGCCGGTTGGAGGAGAGGTCCAGGTGCGCCGTGTCCAGAGGGATGGGGACGGGCACGATGTGGGGACCAAGGCTGCTGCAGTCCACCCGGGTCAGGCTGAAGCTGTCGAAGAGGCCGAAGGTCTCCACCTCACACTGGCATCCGGGGAAGCAGGGCCGGGTCGTCTGAGCTCCACTTACAGCCAGCAGGGGCAGCAGGGGCAGCAGCAGGGCCCACGGCATGGTGGGGCTGGAAAGAAGACCGCAGTGAGAACAGAACTTCCCTGACAGTACGCCCACGGTACACACGAGCCAGGGTCCACACACAACTGGAAGCTACTACAGCTCTCCATCCTTGGGGACACTTCCCGAATGCTCTCGGTCCCTCTTCCTCTCTGGGCTTCATTCCCCGCCCCCCCCAACCGTGTGGTAAAGGACAACAGGCCAGATTGGTAGACTATAAACCAGAAGCAGCAGAATCCTTTCTTAAATGAAAGTAGGTCTACTCTGGCTGAAGGGAGGGGGACCTGCAGCCTCCCATGCCTGCTCCCCACCCCGCAATGCCATATAGTGTTACGGAATCTAGTTTGAACCCACAGACTAGACAGGTCCTTGGGCTGGCCTCTCCAGCTTCAATGGCCTAGGGCTCACAGGCTGGGCTAGACCCTGCCCGCCAGGGAGCGTAGTAGTATGCAGGCAGGGTTAGGGGCTGGGCTTTCCACTGGCCTCTAGTGAGCATGCACTGTGTGCGGGGTGCCATGCTAGCTGCTGCCCAGCACCGTCTCACTCGACCCTCACAACCACCCTGCCAGGCAGACACATCTATCTCCGTCTCACCAAGAGAGAGCTGGGACTTAGCATGCTGCCACATAGCTCAGTGGACGGCACTGGATGGGGTGCAGACGGGGAGTGGGGCCTGCCATCCAGGTCAGCAGCAGCTGAGCCCCACACTCCTATCTTCCGGGACTCTCTCCCTCCAGTGAGGCCTGCAATGACATCGCTGTCCTCACCAGGCCTGTCCTTTTGAAGCAGAATCCTCCCTTGCAAGGGGGGACCCTTGGACTCTGGGATGGGCTTGAGGGACATCCTTTCCCCCTTGCCCTGCACCCTCCTTTAACACTAGGCAAGTAGCTGGGCTGCTTCTCATCTCGTCTCCTGCAGAGGAAGAAATGGAAGCTCAAGGAGGACAAGGGCCTCGCCCCAGCCCAGTGAAAAGCAGGGCAGCAGAGCCCAGCCTGCTCAGTTCCAACCCAGCTATTTATTCACCATGCTGCTTCCTGCGGGCCTGGCAGGGGGCTTGCCGGGGAGGGGGCGGGGG